GGCTGCCAGTAAGCTCTGCTTATTAACACCATATGAGCATCTGGCCCTTGATTTTAATCACTGTCTTCCGGGCAGTCAGTGACCCTTTGCCTCTGACCTCAGATTATGTTCCTTTTCCAATGGGTTAATCGGGTGTTTGGTTTTCACACCATGGGGAAGGAAGAGACACAGCAGCATACCCATTTCTCATGCTCTGCATCTGTGGGGAAATGTGTTTCTCTGTTTCCACCAGTCACTTTTCTCCTCTTGGCCCTTGCCTGCTGCCTGAAAAGGTCTCCAGCTAGGTTCCCAACCATAGAGATGACCTCAAAAATCACTAGCCTGAAAGAGGTACTAGAACTACAACTCCCATGAGGCACTGCAACAGCATTTCCAAATCAAGTATTACAGCCCAAGTTTTTTGTTGCTTGTATTTCTGTCCTCTACCCAAACAAACAACTCAAAGTTTTCCACAGAACCCCCTCCCCATTTTTCAACCTGCTCTCATGGTGACATTCCCATCATTCAGAATCATTAATATTTATCATAGGCTGCCCCCACCTCCTTTCCATTTTCCAGGGACAAGAAGGTGTAGCTGCAGCTCTGGCAGCTTGTAAGATTCTCAAGGACATGTCCCGACTGGAAACAGAGGCTGAAGTAGCCCGTAGGATGAAAGAAGCCAAGTATGATCAGCTCGCTCTGGGTAAGCAACTGCAGTCTTTAAGATAATTATCAAATATTTAAGAGGTGACTGGCGCTGGAAGACCAGCTAGCAAAAAACCATCATAAAGTAATAACAGACATGCTCCTATGAGTAACTCAACCCTTTCAAAGCTTTGCTAGTCCCAAGCGTACAGATATCACAAGTCAGCCCCACCTCCCTCCCCACCAAAATCACAAGAGTAATGTATAAATTATAGGTTTTTAAAATAAACCACTATTTTTGGTCTATCCTGTGTTTTTTAAGGCTTTAGAGGAAACTGGCTAGCCCCAATTTAAGTAGGACCATTTCTGGTTCAAAGTCCTATCTGAAATACACACACAAAAATGCAGGCTCCTTGCTGGGCGCTTGGAGTGGGTACACCCACTATCCCCTCCTAATCTCCAGGGTGGGGAAGCTGCCACTCCCTTCTATCCCTGGCTTTATCATTGTGTCTCTGTCTCTCTCAATCATGCTCCCAAGGCCCTATCACAAAATGCTCCAATACTTCTGTTAGTCTTAAAGGTGCCACAGGACCCTCTGTTGCTTATCACAAAATTAGACTCTCGAGATTTCCAGTGCTTGCTGGCATTGCCCAAGCTGAAAATACCGCAAGAACATCCTCTCTCACTGCATTTTGATAACTTAAAGCTCCTAGACTAAAGCAGGAAGTGCAGAAGTGTGTGGAAGTGACAAATGAAATAAAGAGGTAGCCAAAACAATTTCAAACCTCAAAAAAGCTTTAAGTATGGGTTTGGAAGTCTATTCGATAGCTTGGATCCGTTTATTATTCAAACCAGTTCAAGCGCCCTGTAGATTTACTTCCCAGTATTCTGGCAGCTGTGTAGATGCCAAGGCAAAGATTTTGAAGACCTGAAACCACCCAGCTTGCTAGATTTTAATTTAACATTCCATTCCAAATGGCAGCCAGAATTAAAATAATCGCCATCAAGGATACACGACAGATCCCAGCAAAAGCCAGGGCCAGATTAAAGCAATCCAGAGCCCTAGGCACACAGTGCTCCCCATGGCTTTGACCTCCTAGTTGCAGCATTTATAGCAAGGGACCCGCCTGCCAGAGAGGCGGTGCCATACGAGTCTCCCTTCCTTCAGCAGCATTTGTGGTGGCAGCAGGGAAAAGATAAGGGTGGCATTACACAGGTCCCCTGGAACTTCTGCCAGCAGCTGTGTTTGTCTGATTGGGAGGTGAGCCAGGTCTGCTGCACTCTTCTCCTCCACAGAGTTCTCTGTTAGGTGGTGTTAGCAGGGCCAACGAGGCTTTGGCTGCATCTACACTTGGAGCTGGGGGTGTGATTCTCAGCTTGTGTAGACGTACTGGCACTAGCTCTGCTTGAGCTAGCACAACAAAAATAGTAGCATAACCCCAGTAGCATGGACAGTGGCAGCGGCATGGGCTAACCATGCCGAGTGCAAACCTGCCCCAACCCCTTTGGTATGTACTGGGGGCAGCTAGTCTTTGAGGCCACTGCCTGGGCTACCATAGTTACACTACTGTTTTTAGTGTGTTAAGTGGATGAGTGCTAGCGTGAGTATGGTCAGGCAGACATCACTGTATTTGTTTATACAAGGGTCATATTTTCAAGACTGTCTTTGCAACCATGAGATCTAGACTTTTTTTTTGTTTCTAAAATCAGAATGAAGACTCTGGTGTAATCACATGAATGCTAGAGTCCTAGGCAAAGGACTGTAGGGCCATTGAAATCAATGGAAGTCTTTCCATTAACTTCATTGGCCCAGGATAAAACCAACAGTGCCTAGGTCTTAATCTGGTCCTGAAACGATATGTACTTCAGTGAGCATATTCAAGGGATGCTGCAAAATAAACTCCTATATTAGGCAACTTCAAAAAACACTGACATTGAAAAGCCAAAGTGATTGAGGTGGTGAAGGCAGGGATAGGAAATGCTCTGGAGTGGGGGGGGGGGGGAAGATCAGTAGAGTGACGGACACAGTAGCCAACTCAGACACAATGAGCACACTGTGACTTACTTCCGCTGGTGCTCCCATTACAATAGCAACTGAGCACTAAGACCAAAGGCCAGCTCCTGTTAAAGAATTTTGCCCTAAAAGGGCCAACGTTGGCGTGCAACGAATCTGTGGCTTGAAACCCATGGTTAGTTGAGTAAGGCCTGATGTTGAGCACCCTCATTTCCCTTGGATTACCCATGGGAGTGGAGGGCACTTGGCACCTTGAAGAATCAGGTTCTTCAGTGTGTAAGAAAACCTACCACCATTTGGTTTGTGCCTGATACTGCATCAAATTCTGCATATGAAGTGGCTTCACAACTGGGCCTTTAATGTGTATTTGTGTGCATGTAAAAGGGGCTTTTATGTAATCTGTGGAAGACCTGAGGGACGAGAAATTTATCAATAAAACGTCAAATAGGTGAGAAAAAATTTAAACAGACTCAAGACTGAGAAGAAACCATGTAGGCAAGAAAGGGGCAATGAATGGGCACCTAAGGGGGATGAAGGATTTTGGCTTTTTGTAAATACTTAAATTTAAGGAGACATTTTCAAATGCATTTTTACCACAATTCCCTGAATTTTGACTCTTTTCCCAAGAGAAATACACAAGTTCTCTCTCCTGCCCCAGTGTGTATGCACAGATGTAGAGCTGTGGGTCTGTCATGGAAAATGAATTTCCTTCACTTGGCAGAGCTATTCAGTGAATGCTATCACAACAGTGAGGAACGAGCGTTTGCTTTACTGGTGAGGAAAAACCAATACTGGAGCAAAACTACCTGTCTCCACTTGGCCACAGAAGCAGATGCTAAGTCTTTCTTTGCACACGATGGTGTCCAGGTGAGCAAAATGCAAGGAAATTCCCTTGTGACTTTCTAGGGGCAGCATTGTACTTTTAGGCACAGCCCTGAACAAAGGAGGAGTTCATGGATAAACTGCACCCTCCCAGGAAACATCTTGTTGAGGCAGAATTCCTCCAGTGCTCCCCTGAGGCAATAAGAGAAGGGAGTATTCTACTGCAGTGCGTTACAGAGCAGCATACTAACCTCCTGGTGTCCAGCCAGGCCAACAGTGGAGAAGAGGTCAAAGCTCTGGCCCCACCCACTCCCTGCTTTCTCTCACCCAATTGCTCACAGAGGAGCACTAGAATGCATCTCCTATTCTCCATTTCACAACTGAAGCCAGGATCTGTAATGAAACTGTACAGGGATGTGGGGTGACTCCATCCCATGGCTGTGTTAGGCCCAACAAAGGGTTTTTTCTTCATGACAGATTATAACTAGGGATGCCAATTTTGGTTGGACATGTTCCTGGAGGTTTCATCACATGACAATCTTTAATGAAAGATTAATTTCTAATTCCTGGAGACTCCCGGGCAATCCTGGAGGGTTGGCAACCCTAATTATAACTTCAGCGTTGCCCTCAACTCGAGGTCCTGTCGACACACAAAACCCTTAAGTGCGGTGGTGCTTTTATCTCAAGTTTGCTGCCCGTCAGGGTGTGGAGGCTACAACTCAAGTTAGCACAACTCATCAGCTGCTATCACAATCACTCTGTAGCATGGACACAGGCTAGCTCCAGTCAAGTGCTGCTAAGTCCTCAAACGTCTTCCCACAATTCCCTCCCACGTGCCCAGAAAGGAGATAAATTCTCCTGTAATCCACTGGGAAAGAATTCATAGATCAGCTCAGTTTACTGCAGTGCAAAGAACCATGGGATATGTCCCCCGAAGTCTTTGTGCAGAGGTGGGCAAACTACGGCCCACAGGCCACATCTGGCTCATGGGACCATCCTGCCCTTGAGCTCCCGGCCGGGGAGGCTAGCCCCCGGCCCCTCCCCTGCAGCCACACCGCTGCACGAGCAGCACTCTGGGTGGCAGGGTTGCACGCTTCTGCCAAGCAGCGCGGCAGCGTGTCTGGCTCTGACCGGGCGGCGCAGCTGCCAAACATGCTGCTCTGAGCAGCTTCGTAAGGGGGCTGGGGTGTTGGATAAGGGGCAGGAGATTCTGGGGGGGCAGTCAGGGAACAGGGGGGGTTGAATAGGGGGCAGGGTCCTGGGGGCGGTTAGGGGCAGGGGGTCCTGGGAGGGGTTAGGGTTAGGGGACAAGGCGCAGGGGACTTTTGGGGACTTCAACAGCTGAGTCAAGGGAGAGAATTCTTCCAGGAGCGGGTGGGTCAGCTTTTGTGGCCGAATTATGCGGGAGGTCAGACTAGATGATCATAATGGTCCCTTCTAACCTTAGAGTCTATGAGGGGGATTGGATGGGTCAGGAGTTCTGAGGGGGGCAGTCAGGGGGCAGGAAGTGGGAGGGGTCAGATAGGGGGAGGGAGCCAGGCTATTTGGGGAGGCACAGCCTTCCCTACCCAGCCCTCCATACAGTTGTGCAAGTCCGATGTGGCCCTCGGGCCAAAAAAGTTTACCCATCCCTGTCTTAGTGCTATACATGAACAAGAGCTGTGCCAGCACGGACATAGGTACTTTCCCTGGAGCTAGGTTAGCGAGGAGTAAGAGGGTGTAGACAACTGGAGTTAACTCTGCAATGAAGACATACCCACAATCTAGTTTTAGGTAGTGTTTCTTGCCCCACCCTTCAAGATTCCATAGAAGAAAAACCATGATTTAGCTCCATGTTCACTTGCTTTGTGTCAAAGCCAGGTTTACTTTCTGTTCTTTTTCTTTGACTTTCAGGCCTTCTTGACAAAAATCTGGTGGGGAGACATGTCAACAAGCACTCCGATCCTGAAATTAATCTGCGGATTCTGGTGTCCTCTTCTAATCTACACTAATCTAATAGCATTCAGGTATAAACAAAACATTTGTGTGTGTCAAAGCTGTCCCGGGGGGGCATCAGTAAGAGACAGTTAAGTGAAAAATATAGCGCACACAGAAATAATCACAGAAAGAAAGGAGGGTGACATTACCTCTGGGCAGAGGGGCCAACAGAAGGGCTGGTCAGCCATTAAGCCCTAAGGGTATATCTGCACTGCTGCTGTGAGAGGTCATTCCCAGCGTGGGTAAAGAGACTTGTGCTAGTTCTGCTCATGCTAGTGTGCTAGAAGTAGTGTAGATGTTGCCACACAGGCAGGAGCTCAGAGCAGGGGGGCAGGCAGACGTGAACTCAGGCAGCTAGCTCAAGCCATCACCTGTGCTGCAATCTCCAGCAAAGCTAGCTGGAGTCTGGGAATCACACCTCCCAGCTGCAGTGTAGACATAAACCTAAGAAGCCTTAAGTGGTATTTAGTGGTTGGATGGGCCTCGCGCAGCCCCCTACTATGCTTAAAATGTGACTGTATTCTCCACTTGTAAGGTAACTCCCTTCTCTTCATGTATAACAATGCCTGCATCTGTCATTTTCACTCCATGCAATTGAAGTGAGGTTTTTACCAACAAAAGCTTATGCCCAAATAAATCTGTTAGTCTTTAACGTGCCACCGGACTCTTCATTGTTTTTGTAGGTTCCCTTCTATGCTGGATCTTCAGTTTGCCCCCTACAAGATGTGAAATACACAGCCTGGCCGGTTCTCTCTAGCCACATAAGAGCCTCTTACCGGGGAGAGATCCCAGGCCAGGCTGCTGTAACATAGCTGCACAGCTCTCAGTTCAGCAGTGAAGAGCTGCCTTCCATCATCTTTCAATAATAATTATATTTTCTTACAGTGAACAAGTACAATCAAAGAATGAGCCAGAGACATTCAGAGAGCTAGAGAGCCTAGACACAGAAAGGACTTTGCTTTTTTCCAAGGAGGGGGACAGGTAAGTCTGAGTCAGTCTGTTAATATAATTCGGAAGTTGAATTAAGACACAACAGTCAAAGCACAGGACATTTCTCGGGGATTAATGACTAGCTGGTAACCCAAAGGACAGCTGAGGTGCCCTTGTCAGTCATTAATCCTCAGAAAATCCCCTGCGCTGAGGTTGTTAATGTTATTACGGTGTATATGGAAAGAGGGAGATAAATAGGAGCATAGAATTATTTTTAAATGAACAAAGCAACTTCAGTCAGTCTATACAGCTCATACCAACAGAACTGATGGCCAGTGTTTTAGCCAGATTCTCTCAAGTCTCCTCTTAGCATTCCATTCAGCTAATGACACCTGCTGTGTATTGGATTTAAGGCCTAAAACTGCACAGGTCTGAGTAGCAGGCTGCTGAAAGACATGCAGAAAGCAGACTCTGAACTCATTCAACTTTGGGATCTGAACTTTATGATACTTTATCCCTCTCTACCCAGGTCTTCACAGCCAAATCCACAATAATTATGTTTAGTATAGTAGCACCTAACCGTTTCTATCCCAATCAGAATCCTCTCAGGCTAAGTGATAGACACATATAATAAGAGACAGGCCTTGCTCTGAGGTGCTGAGGGTATGGTAAGGGAAAGCTGTGATTGGTTGTTAGCCTATGCTGAACCCATGTCACCATCTCTACACTGCTATTGTTACCCATGCTAGCTAGATTAAACCTAGGACAAGTATGCCTACCTATGCTACAATCACACCTTCCCTTATGGCATAGGCATATCCTTTATTTATAACTAGACAAGATGTAGGACTGGAGAAAGCAAAGTATTATCATCCCCATTCTGCAAATGGGATCCAGGCAGAGGGAGGTTATTTAACTTGGCCACAGACACACACAAATTCTGCAGCAGAGCCAGTGATTGGACCCAGATCTCCTGAGTCCCAGTCTAGTGTCTTAACCACAAAACCCATCTGTTTTAGATCTGAAGGTGGCCAAGAGGTTTTCACCATAAATCAGGAAAGAGAGATTCTCCTTGTGATAAGTACACAACTCCCACTGATGCTAAAGGGTGCTGAATACCTGGATCAGACACATGCAGTACCACAAACATGATTAAATCATCCACATATTTGATTTTGTTTCACTAGCATTCTTTGAAAGGTCTGAAAAACTGAAGTTGAGGGAATGTCATATAGTGGACAGAGTCAGAACTCTGTTTCTATTCTTAGCTTTGACATTGAACTAATGACACTTAGGGAAAAGTCACTAGTTTCTCTGCTTCATCATCCATAAAATGGATATAATAGTACCTCTCTCTGAAGAAAGCAATTATTAATTCATGTCTATGAAACATTTTGATGTCCTCATATTAAAGGGAGGGATATGGTTCTTGGCCAGTATGTTTTCTGTTCCATTTGTTATTGTCTCAAAAGTTTATGTTAATATGGGATTTCTCTCCCTCCCAGGTTTGTTTCTTTTTCTGAATCCCAAGTCATAATTATTTGTTTACGACATCAGTCTGTTGCCATGGGAATGGCTGTGCTCATGTCATAAATTTAGCGTTATGACAACTGCTCCTAGAGAATCAAGCAGGGAGAACAGGCTGGCTAGGAATTAAAATATTTAGAAATTAGAAATAGTACCAGGAGAAATAAAAAACCCATGTAGAATCAATTGCTTTGTGTTTTATTTGAGTTGCAGAGGAAACTTTCCCCAGCGTGCACATCCCTTATTAAAGAGTGATCTCCTTCACATCAAGGAACACACACTTAAAGGTGCAATAACATCCTTAGTCTATAGACAGCAATTTAGATGGAAACAAGCACAGCCAGGGGAGACACTAAAGTAAAAAAAAAAAAAGTAATACAGCGTGAGATTTTTACTGAATCGGATTGCTGCCAGATATGGGGTTTTTCCATTATACGCACAGAATAACTTACATTTACACTATATAGCACTTTATATACTGAACGACTGCAGCACATTTTGCAGGTATATGGCCAGATTTTCCATCAGTTCCCATAACACTCGGGCAACCGCAGTGCAGCCAGCGCTTACATTAATAATTTACAAGCCTGTCTTCTTTACTGAAAACTCCTGTCAGACTGTTGAGTGAGTCATTATAACTTTAAGCCTAGGACCAGACTGAAATACTCTTACTCGTATCGAGTAATACCTCACTTCTTGAATAGTTCCATTGATTTCAGCAACACTACTTGAGGAATGCGGTACTACTCGATGTGAGTAAGGGTATTTCAGTCTGGTCCTAAAGGAACACACATGTTTAAAGTCATATATTTAAAAAGAAAGTCCTCACCTATGTGAAAAATAGTACATTGGTTTATCAGAAAAAATACATTTTAGAAAATAAATTTATTTGTCAGCATTTATGGCGCCTGTTCGCTTTTCACGTCTCCCTCTCATTTTGGACAATGAATTGTAACGAATCTGTTTCCCTTTTGGTCCTCATGCACTAGTATGATGCTGCAATGTTTGTGTTGCAAATGCTCAAGGGGTATGTTTAAACCCTAGCCCTGCTCCAAAAAACAAAAACAAAACACGCGCACACACACACACAACCAAAAAACCAAACAAACACTAAGCAAACCTACTCCACTGTACTGAAAAGCAAATACCGAGCTAAAGGAATGAAAAGATGTAAAAGGTTTGGTACAGTTTTGTTTTAAAACATACAAAGCTTAAATGCTGCCTGGCAGTGTTTCTGTTATGACAAGGCACTTCCAGTGACTTCAAGGAGAACTTACACTATCAGGGCCAGATCCTCAGCTGGCATAAATCAGTATAGTTCCACTGATTTCAATGGAGCTCCCCTAACATACACCAGCTGCAGAGCTGGCCCTCACTAGCTCCAGGGAGACCCTCGGCACTGCACAGGATCAGGATCAGGGTTCTTTTACAAACAGATTTTAAGAAGCTGACACTATAATTTGCTCTCTTTGTTTTACAGGGTAGATGCCAAATTAGAGAAGCGGAGGTCTTCTGAAAACATAGCATGGGCAACATTCATGTTTACTCGCTGGAAAAAGTTTTGGAATGCCCCTGTAACAGTATTTATGGGGAATGTTATCATGTATTTTGCTTTTCTGTTTCTATTTACCTATGTCTTGTTACTGGATTTTAAACCACCACCACCTGAGGGGCCTTCTGTTAAGGAGATTATACTTTACTTTTGGGTTTTTACATTGGTCTTGGAAGAAATCCGACAGGTCAGTAACCTTATACATACCTTCACAATACTGTGCTAAATTCAAGTAGTAAGATTCAGAGTTGATTTACAGGCTGTGTAATCCCATTGTCTTCAAGAGGTGAAATGTCAAGGACAGCTTCACAAAGGAAAACACTGAAAAATTTTCATTGCTCTGCACCTTTTCATTACCCCGAGAGGCTTGTGTATTTCCTCCTCACATACACCCAGCTAACATGCCAGTCCTCCATCACACACAGCTGCAGCTCTACCCCTTATTCTTCCAGGAGAAGCTCCAGCTGCTAGCAATATTCGTTTGCTGATGCTCTGGGATTGCTGAGTCCTTCCTCTGGTCTAACAGCTATCTGTTTACCTATCCTGCTCCGCTCACCACATCCAAGCTCCGTTCCCCCAGAATTGCTAATCCACCCTACTTCCTCCTCTTGGAATGATCCCATCTGCCACTGTTTTGCTTCCCTCCCACTTCCTCCAGAATTGTATATATATTTATATTCAGGAGTGAAGAGGTTAATGAGTTTGCCTCTTAAACAGTTTAAATTTTGTTTTTCTAAAATGCTTTTCAGTTCAGGCCATTAGGTTATGTTTAGATTTTTTTTAAGATTTCTCCATTAATCTTGCAATTGTTTTTAGAATATCCTCAGCTGCCTGGTTTAGCAGCTGAAATGGTGTGTCTACAATACTGTAGGGAACCGCCTAGTTTGTATATACACAAATGGCCTCTACTGGGGGGTTCCTGGACTGCTTACCTTGTTGTCATAGATCCTGACCCTAAAAGAATTGGTGGGCCTTCTCCTTTAGCTCAAGCAATAGGGGGCCAGGGTTTCTGAAGTATGAGGATCAGGGTTATAGCCTCACTTTTATTAGGAAATTCTGAACGGCCATGGCTTGCAACATTGTGAAAGCTCGGAGGGCGACCACCAATTTGTCACAAATCAGCTGAGCATATTTTAAAGATGTTATATCGGACTGTTGTATCCTGTAGCACTAAGGTGATCACAGAGGATGTTTGGGCTGAGGATTGTTTGTAATACAGCCATAAAGCATCAAGAGCCCAATTTTGAGACAGGGACACCTAAATAAGAGAGCCAACTGCTGTCTGGATGCTCAAAGCTAGTTAGTGGCAGTTGAAGCATCCAGGGTTTGAATATGCTCTTTAGGAGCCCATGCCTGGACATTGAGATCAGTCTGATTGAAAAGATTTTTATAAAACAGAAACAAATATGGCCAACCCCCAATGTTGAAAAAAAATTGAGTCAGCCTCCAAAAAACTCATGAGATTAATTTAAATATTATGAGATTTTTAAAAAATAATATATGCTGGGTTATTTTCATTTGTTTTCTGGGGCCTGAGCTTCTAGTATGCAGTGGGGTCATGTTTTCAAGCTTTTCTCTATTACCATGGGGGTCAGAAATAGACCTTCTTTACAAAAGAAAAAGAAAAAGCTGAGATGCTCATGTAATCACTTGACTTGAGGAGCTGGGGCTTGTAGAAAAACAGCAAACATCACAGGACTCACACTAAAATCACAAGAGCTGGCAAGCTAACACTGACAATTGTTGCTCCCTTGTAGAGTTTCTTTACAGATGAAGACATGAATTTAATTAAGAAATTTAAACTGTACGTGGAGGATAACTGGAATAAGTGTGATATGGTGACCATCTTTCTGTTTATAATTGGAGTGACCTGCAGGTTGGTGTCTTTCAAGAGTTTTGCCCCTGTATCCATTTTATGTGACATGGTCAGATATCTGTCACATGGAGCCAGGCAACATGGACTATTCCTGCCACAGTCCACAGGAGGCTCATGCATGCATCTGAGGGAAGGCGCAGGTGGCTTTTATTTTTCATCAGTTTTGAGACAGTAGAGTCTATACTGGTGGTAAAATGGGCTGAAAGCACCCCTCTGAGCTCTAAATTTCCACTGGCCTAAAGAGGCTGTCACACAGATTACAGAAAAACATATCTGGCACATAGAAACACTTGCAGAAGGAAACACTATTTCCTCTTTAAGACTACATCAAGTCGATGTACTCACTTATCTCACCTCTCTGTAGCCCTAGTGGTTTATATGGCCTCACCACAGCTGACATGGGGAGGCCGGTGTTCCTGCAGTAGCTGGATGCTGCTCATTGGCAGATGGTACATTCTTTTTACAGTGTGATGGTTGTGGCTCATGTGAGATACAAGCCCTAAGCACACATCCTTTCCTTGCCTAGATTCCACATTGAATCAACATGTATCACTCTAGAAATAAGGTGTCTGAGTGGTGTTTGAGGCTGTTTCATTCGGTCTGTTTTGCAGAATGCTGAACTCAACATTTCAAGCCGGCCGTACAGTACTTGCAATTGATTTCATGGTGTTCACTCTGAGGCTTATACATATTTTTGCCATTCACAAGCAACTAGGGCCAAAGATCATAATTGTGGAAAGAATGGTGAGTATGAGCTCTCCCAAAGAGAGATTCTTGTGGATTCTGCAGTGAAACAAACAAAACAAAAATTTGAGCATTATAATTTTAAGGAAGTCAGTGTATAACTCTGCTTTCTTGAAGTCCTCTCGTTTGGTTTATATTGCAGCATCATTAAGAGCTATTACCAGCCAGATGTGGCTCCTCTCAAAGAGGTCTGTAGCACGGATTTTGGATCCAAGTCAGCATTGCCTTGCACCTTGTGTAGTCATTTACCCCAATGCATTTTACACCCAGTTAGCACAGCTGCAAGTGATTATACAAAAGTGCAGGGCAACTGTTAATCGAGCCCTTTGTTTCTTTCTTCTTTCTTTGTTCTCCCCTGTTTTACTCCCTTACAATTTGGGAGGCTGCACAGGGGGATTGCCATTTCTTTCTTTCTCCTTCCCCACTGTCCTGGTCTCTCTTTTCCTGTTCCCTTTTGGTTTAAATATAACTGCTTGTCGGGTTCAGGAGTTGGGGCTCCAATCCTTAGAGATATTTTGGCTTCTGAGTCCTGTTGATTTCAAGGTGAGTTAGGTGTTTATATACTTTTGAGGAGCTGGGCCTGTGTTCTTTTGGGGCAAAGAATCTGAAATGGGAGACAAGCCAGTTCCAGAAGAACTCTACCGTTATGTCAGTGGCAGGGAGGAACATATCCCTGTAGAGATAATCTGGGTTAGTGCCTGGCGGAGGTAGGAGCTGCTTTCTAACCATAATTTATAATGAGAATGTGTTAGTACTCCCTGTGTTATAAGGCAGAAGTGTTGATACAGTGTTTTCATTTACTACCCTACAGCTGCAGGAAATGTACAAAAGTTCCAGTTACTGCACTTGGATACAGACCTGAACAGTTTGGTGGTTTTTTATTTGGGTATGTTAATCATAGAGGTCAAACAGCACATGTTAACAATTAACATGGAATTAATCTGACTGTAAATGCTAATATAGCCATGTACAAACATTTGTTTCCCATCCTAGCTCACCCTAGGGCTCAGCAGAAACTCTATTCTGGTTTAAGATTAATAAACTTAAAAGCTACCAGACTGTTCACATCTGTGCACCACTGGAATAACTGGAACACTTATATCCCATTGCTTGGAGTACCAAGAGGATAAATGAAAACCATGTATTAATGCTTGTGTAGTATTACATACACCGTACTCATAGGTTTTTATTGCAAATTATGCTTACAGAATGCAAGTGAGAGTAACTCACAACTGCAGCTCCCAACTCCTCCAGGCTGAGCACTAGGCTAAACCATCACTATGAACAAGTGTTTGTGCAGGGTCTACTACATTTATAAAAGGGCTGTCAAGCAATTAAAAAAATTAATCGTGCAATTTATCACACTGTTAAACAATAATAGAATACCATTTAAATATTTGTGAATGTTTTCTACATTTTCAAATATATTGATTTCAGTTATAACAGAATACAAAGTATACAATGCTCACTTTATATTTATTTTTTATTACAAATATTTGCACTGTAAAAACAAAAGAAATAGTATTTTTCAATTCAACTCATGCAAGTACTGTAATGCAATCTCTTTATCGTGAAAGTTGAACTTACAAATGTAGAATTATGTACAAAAAATAACTGCATTCAAAAATAAAACAATGTAAAATTTTTGAGACTACAAGTCTACTCAGTCCTATTTCTTGTTCAGCCAATCGGTCAGACAAACAAGTTTGGTTACATTTGCAGGAGATAATGCTGCCCACTTCTTGTTCACGTCACCTGAAAGTGAGAACAGATTTTCTCATGGCACTGTTGTTGCCGGTGTCGCAAGATATTTATGTTCCAGATGTGCTAAACATTCATATGTCCCTTCATGCTTCCACCACCATTCCAGAGGACATGCGTCCATGATAATGATGGGTTCTGCTTGATAACAATCCAAAGCATGTGGACCGACAGATGTTCATTTTTATGTTCTGAGTCAGATGCCACCAGCAGAAGGTTGATTTTCTTTTTTGGTGGTTCGGGTTCTGTAGTTTCCACATTGGAATGTTGCTTTTTTAAAACTTCTGAAAGCATGCTCCACACCTTGTCCCTCTCAGATTTTGGAAGGCACTTCAGATTCTTAAACCTTGGGGCGAGTGCTGTAGCTATCTTTAGAAATCTCACATTGGTACCTTCTTTGTGTTTTGTCAAATCTGCAGTGAAAGTGTTCTTAAAATGAACAATATATGCTGAGTCATCATCCAAGACGACTATAACATGAAATATATGGCAGAATGTGGGTAAAACAGCCGGAGACATACAATTCTCCCCCAACAAGTTAAGTCACAAATTTAATTAACGAATTATTTTTTAATGAGCGTCATCAGCATGGAAGCATGTCCTCTAGAATGGTGGCCGAAGCATGAAGGGGCATATGAATGTTTACCATATCTGGCACGTAAATACATTGCAATGCCAGCTACAAAAGTCCCATGCGAATGCCTCTCACTTTCTGGTGACATTGTAAATAAACAGTGGGTAGCATTATCTCCCGTAAATGTAAATAAACTTGTTTCTCTTAGCGACTGGCTGAACGAGAAGTAGGACTGAGTGGCTTATAGGCTCTAAAGTTTTGCATTGTTTTATTTGAGTGCAGTTATGTAACCAAAAATAAATCTACATTTGTAAGTTGCACTTTCATGATAAAGAGATTGCACTCTAGTACTTGTATGAAGCGAATTGAAAAATACTATTTCTTTTGTTTCAGTTTTACAGTGCAAATCTTTGTAATAAAAAATGTTTTCATTCAGACTCTGACCCTTTATATTGTATATAAGTACACTTTATATTGTATTGTAATTGAAATCAATATATTTGAAAATGTAAAAAAAATCCAAAAATATTTAATAAATTTCAATTGGTATTCTATTTGTTAATAATGCAATTTAAACTGCGATTAATCACAATTAATTTTTATAATTGCGATTAATTTTTTGAGTTAATTGCATGAGTTAACTGCGGTTAATTGACAGCCCTAATTTATAATTGTATTAAGTCACAGAATCAATTAACATTTTACAAGGTGAACAAAAGCTCTAGTCTTGAGAAGGCCATAAAATATGAACTTGATCCTGCTCCCATCCATGTCAATGGGAAAAACTCCTATTATCTTCAGTGGTACAGGATTGAGCCCTACATCAAAGAAAAAGAACCGTATTTCACTAAATGATATTGGCTCCAAAGATATATCAAATGGGATAACATCAGACTTTTCCCCTTGAATAGAAAGGCAAGCCAAAACTGCTTAACTCCTTATTCATCTTGCAGTAGCACTAGTGGTTTCTAAAATAGGGCAAATCCAGTTATTTAATGAAATTCAAGTAGCAAATAAAGATCACAAAGAAATATTTCCAGATCATTCACTGCTCCTTTTTAGCAACCGCAACATCACAGTCCCCGTGTATAGACAAATTTGGAATGATCTCCGGCCATAAAGTAAATTGGCAAAAGTCTGAGATACTCCCACTATCTCTGGTCTGTTTTAGCTTGTTTTACTAACTGGAATTTCAAATGATCTCCTGCAAGATTAAAATACCTAGGCTTTCAGCTAGCTGTCCAATCATAAAATCTAATTTAAATGAATCTACAGTCACCACATGAAATTAATAGGCAGCAGTTTTAAACCAAACAAAAGGAAGTATTTTTTCACAGAACACACAGTCAACATGTGGAACTCCTTGCCAGAGGATGTTGTGAAGGCAAAGACTATAACAGGGTTCAAAAAGGAACTAGATAAATTCATGGAGGATAGGTCCATCAATGGCTATTAGCCAGGATGGACAGGGATGGTGTCCCTAAGCTTCTGTTTGCCAGAAGCTGGGAATGGGCGACAGGGGATGGATCACTTGTTCTGTTCGTTCCCTCTGGGGCACCTGGCACTGGCTACTGTTGGAAGACAGGATACTGGGCTAGATGGACCTTTGGTCTGACCGAGTATGGCCATTCTTATGTACAGTCATTAATGGACTGTTTCAAATCAGATATGGATGGGATGAAATATTTCTTTTCCAATGGGAAAAAGTTATTAAAAACCAATACATATTTCAAGTGTAAGTAAGTATTTTAGGATATAATTACTTTTGCTTCTCTGGAGAAAAATAATGTTTAAAAGTAGAGGTCCTAAAAACTAATCTTCAACCATATTACTCAGCAGAGAAACCCAATCAAAATTTACATGAACCTTGCATGGGTCAACGTTTATTCTAACAGCTGTTCAGAATTCTCCAGTGAGTAATGTCATTTGGGATTCAGTGTTGGAATGGGGAGTTTTAGCAGAACATCAGATACTCTTCAGATTATCCTGTTTTCAACAAGGCAGTCAATCCTACTGCAAGGTCTCACAGAAAACCTGTGTTTGAAAACCTCAATAAGGCACATTTTTAATCACATAAGGGTCAGAGTCTGAATTAAAACATGCCCTTAGCTGGAATGGTCAGCAAAAAGGTCACAAAGGCGAATCCTGATCACAAAACAAGAATAGTATGATGGCAGAGGGCACAAGAATTTCTCTCATTCCACCTCAAAAAATAAGTTCTTAAAGAAACAAGAGAAACCTGCTCTGTACATTAATAATTTCAGTCAACATTTTTTTCTCTCCTTTAGATGAAGGATGTTTTCTTCTTTCTCTTTTTCCTGAGTGTGTGGCTCATTGCCTATGGTGTGACAACTCAAGCCTTACTCCATCCTGATGACAGCCGAGTAGAATGGATATTCAGAAGGGTGCTTTATCGTCCCTACCTTCAGATATTTGGGCAGATTCCACTGGATGAAATAGACAGTGAGAAATTGATTTTTAACTGATCAGACCACCATAGAATAAGTACCATTAATCCGAGCACAGGCATCCAGACTGGGGTTGTCACTTTCTTATCTTTGTCCTGTAGGAAAAAGTCTGCATGTTATGATGTAATGACATTTTGCACTGCAATATCTGGATGTTAAAATGTATATTGTCAAGTTGTGCTGCAGCATCAATGCAGGCCTTATCTACACAGTTAAACCAAGTTAGTTAAACTGGTGCAAACCCTTGGGTTGATATCTTATTTCAATGACTTATTTCATTAAACCTGTTCCGAATTGACTTAACTGAAACCCAAATAAGCCTAATGTAAACTGAAATCAGAGCACTTACACAGCCTTTTGCACCAGTTTAACTAAATCAGCTTTAAGAAAAATCACAGCTTTAGTTAAACCAGTGCAACTCTGCATGTAGACAAGTCCTTGTACTTCAGAGTCACAATCAGGAGGCAGCACCACCTTATGTTCAGAGTGAATTATCCAAAATTGAATGAGGCTGGTAACCGTATGGTCAGGCATTTCAAACAATATACAAAAACAAACCAATTGACCCACCAGAAATAGAAGTACATGAACATAAAAGAGTACTAGGGTGGCATTACCCATGGAGAAATGGAGTAAATACAGAGTAGGCCATATTCTAAGGACATCTGATAGAATGCTACAGAATCCCCATTCTCAGCAGTGCCAAACATTAACAATATTTAAATTCAAATCAAGCATGAGGAAATAGAGAGTGATCCAAGAGGTACAATGGAATAAACAAAGCAAGCCAGCCTTCCCTCACATTCACGCTGTTTATTAGCAGATGAAAAGATGTCTTGGAGAAGCTGTCAGAGACAGCATGGAAGTCAAGACAGCAGGTTCCTGTGGAGAGTTTTCTCTTGTTAAATGCATACCCAGGAGGGGCCAGCTAGGAGGCAAGAGTGTGGGCGATCACAGCTGCTAAAACTAAGAACTCGAAACTAATTGATAAGAGATTAGAAGATTTACAGGACAGGCTGGGGATGATAGAAAAGACAATTGCAAGTATCTGTTTTCAGGATTCCTGAAAGAAAATTGAAGTTTGAAAATCGGCTTAGATGTTCAATTAATAACTAAAGTTTTAAAAGAGCTTCAAGCACATTTTCCTGAAAGGCAAAATTCCAAGATGGTAAACATGGCTGAGGCACTCAGAAGGGGTTTGCTTAAGATGAATGGAATAGTCAATAGGCCTCAATAGACTCTGAAAACCTATTTTTGGACATTTCCTAATGGCCAGTTGTGAAGGCCATCTTGGCACTGGAGGAGCAGCAAAGATCTGTAGCTCTGTCAAGTAAGTCCTGCTGGAGCTGCATATCCCTCACATTTCTAAAGCAAGGGCACATTGCATATACGATATAGATGTGTATATTGAACCCACATTAGAAACTTTGGCTCTTTCTTACCCTCTTGTCCACCTAAAAAGTTGAGTCATCTGCTGCTTTCAGATGAAGGAATTATTCCTGTAGCTCAAGCAGTAGAAAGTCATTCTTCTAAGAACTGAAGCTACAAACCTGGCTCTTGGTGTAAGCATCCCCATGGGGTTTGAAGTCTAGTAAACCTGAGACATTCAGAATGAGATTCCCCGGCTGGTTACATCTAGTAGAGATTATATCTCATATTAAGTATTAGAGGAGTAGCCGTGTTAGTCTGAATCTGTAAAAAGCAACAGAGGGTCCTGTGGCACCTTTAAGACTAACAGAAGTATTGGGAGGATAAGCTTTCGTGGGTAAGAACCTTGCATCTGAAGAAGTGAGGTTCTTACCCACGAAAGCTTATGCTCTCAATACTTCTGTTAGTCTTAAAGGTGCCACAGGACCCTCTGTTGCTTATCTCATATTAAGTAATTAATAGTCACTGCTTTTGATTTGTATCTTAACAGAAAATGCATTGTTTGTTGTCTGAGTTTCTCATTCTTAAAAGAAGACAGGTTAAGGGATGCTAATTCAGCCGTAGTTCATACTCTACTTATCTATGACATATAGTACTTCAAACTTCAGGCATAATGTTAAATTCTTGAGCCAAATCCATCAGTTTGATGGCAAACAAACTGAGAGGCTATCATTACCATTTTAATGATTAAACATGGCAGCAGAACACACTATGTCCACACTGCCATTTAAGATATAGTTGTAGGGTAAAGCAAACCCATGCTAGCTTTAATCCGGCTTGCAAAGGTGACAATTATAGTGAAGATCTGGTGGCATAAACTAAATCTGCATGGGATTAACAAGCCCACCAGGGATGCTGGGTACGTAACCTAAATTCCTAGCTTGCACCAGGCTTTGTGCCACCGTATCTTCACTTCTTCTGCTATTTGTACTAGCTCAGTTAAACCTAGTGTGGGTATGCCTATCCACACTACAATTACAGCTTAAATTGCAATGTAGACATATAAAACTACTGTTTTATTTCCCCTACCTCCCCCCATTGCAGCATCTCGCATGCGTCTTGAGAACTGTACCTCTACCCTGAAGAGTCCGCAGGAAAATTCACCATTATGTTCTAATACCTATGCCAATTGGCTTGTCATACTTCTGTTGGTCACTTTCTTATTGGTCACCAATGTGCTACTTATGAATCTCCTGATTGCTATGTTCAGGTAAGTGTCAATTAATTAATTCTGAGATGGGGATTGTGGGGTGGGAAGAGAAGGGTTAATAAAAATGCATGCATGCATGCATGCATATACATAAATGCTTCTCTAAGCATTTTGGATCTATTAGCAATTTTACTAATTAGTGGTAATCTTCACTTTGCAGGTAAACTTTTACGATCACACAGTTTTTAATTTCCCCTCTCCCTTTCACTATATCCCTCAAAAGAAAAAAACAAAAGAAACATTTTTTCCTTTTTACCAAAAAAATCAGGTAAAATCTACATATATACAAATTTGCAGGTGAAAGCAGCTGTACACCTGGCAGACCTGCCCATAGAGGATCCTCTCATAGGGGAATCCCTTGACTGGTTTAGGGGCTGACATAGTCAATGGAGCTGTGCTGATTCACAGGGCTGCCCAGAGGGGGGGGGGGCAAGTGGGGCAATTTGTCCCAGGCCCTGGGCTCCACAGGGGCCTCCACAAGAGTTTTTCAGGGCCCCTTGAGTGGGGTCCTTCACTCACTCCAGAGGGCCCGGAAAACTCTCACAGGGCCTGGGCCCCCAGAGCTTCTTCCACTCCGGGTCTTCGGCGGCAATTCAGCGGCAGGGGGTCCTTCGGCTCTGGGACCCGCCGCCAAAGTGCCCCGAAGACCCACAGTGGGGGGTCCTTCTGCCCCGGGACCCGCCACCGAAATGCTGGGTCTTCGGCGGCAATTTGGCGGCGGGGGAAGACCCCAGGCCCCCTGAATACTCTGGGCAGCCCTGCTGATTCACACCAGCTGAGGATCTGGCGCAGTATGGTTGCCTGATATAAGTTTGGTCTACACTTAAAAGTTAGGTTGACAAAGCTATGGGATGTGAATTTTTCACGGCCCTGACTGACATAGCGATACCAACCTAACTTTTAAGTGTAGACAAGGCCACAGCCTTACCCTGGCACACTACAGTTACCATCTTTAAAAAGGCTTGTGTCTTATTGTCTACTGTCTGAAGGCAATTACTGCAAGTAATGTAATCTCTAATGAGGTGCACATACTTTATCTTTTATTTTAAAGAGGATTAATGAGAGAGTGATAGCAGTGGGGTGGCATTCACTCAGGCTAAAGAAAAAATGATACTTTTGATTTTATAGTAATAAATTTTAGGATCATGAGGGGGAAAGCTTAACATACTTTTTTTGTTTGGTTAAAGTTATACTTTTCAAGTTGTTCAGGGCAACGCAGACATCTTCTGGAAATTTCAGCGTTACAACCTGATTGTGGAATACCATGGTCGTCCAGCGTTGGCACCACCATTTATCATTATTAGTCACGTGCATCTGATTCTCAGAAGAATCTTCAAAAAGACGGAGCACAAAAAGGAACATCTGGGTGAGTTGTTAACAAACAGCTAGCAACCAGGTGATTCAGAGGAGCCTGACCACAGGTGGTGAATAAGAAACAGAGGAGTGCAAATAAACTTTCAAAAAACAAAAGCTTCTATTTTCATTGATATGTCTTCATGCATAAACCGTGTGAGAATACATATGTAAAATATGATTTATAATCTAGCTTCTAAAATAAGAGGGCTTAGAGTTTTCCCACAAGGCATCAACTTTTCTTTGTACAATATAATTAAATGGCCAGATACATTAGCCCTCAAGGCAGGCTGCAAGGTCCATTTTTTACCCAGGCATTTGAGGAAGTTGTGTGAGCTGTCCACTGCATTTAAAATGTTATTATGAAATTAAAGGATGTCCAATTGCCCAGAGGTTTCCATGGCCATCCAGTTGTCTTTATAAATCAAATAAATAAATGCATTTATATTTGAGTATTAAGAGGCTGAGTTTATGATGTTTTATTTGCAGTGCTTGAACACTGCTTATTATTTATTATTATTATTATAGCCTAGACAATAAAGTGCATTTGAACCCAAGTCTCCACAGGTTAAATCCCATTTAGATCACGGAAGGAAATGGCCATTGTATAAAAAGCCTAAACATTTAACAACTGGCTGCATGCAAAATTCCACTGTTGAAATAGCAATACTATATATTAAACAAGCCTGAAAAAACAGATTCCTCCTCCTATTCTGTTGCTATTAATGTAACTAAAACATTGTTTCTATACTTTAAAACAATGCTCAAACCATACAAGAGAGACAAGTATCCATTGTTTCACTGTCAGGCTGTTATATGGCTACAATTGCAATTAGGGGAGGTTATAATAGAAAGCCTGACATAAACTTCAGCTAACCTGATCAGCACCCACACATGAAGAACAGGGTGGTGAGTTTGCAAAGGATGTTAGGAGCTAGGGGAAGTACCTAGGTTCGATAGTACAGAATAATGGCAGTATGAACAGGAAACGCATGAACCAAATGGAGAGAAGTGAGCAGAGTTATCTGCGATAGGAGAATGCCTATCGCAGTGAAGAGCCACAAGATGGTAATTAGGCCTGTGCTTTTGTATGGCTCTGAATACTGCACACCGAGGAACAGACAGGAGCAAATCTTGAATACAGTGGAAATGAAAATGGATCATGAAATGAAAGGACGGATCATGTTTGGAGCAAATGAATTATGGAAAGTGTAAAGGTGGCACCAAATACAGAAAAGCTGAGGGAAATCAGACTTAGATGGTTTGGGCATGTGAAAACAAGATCATAAGACTATATAGGAAACAGGGTGTTAAACTTAGAAATGGAGGGTAATGGAAGGGTTGAAAGATCCGTAACTAGATGGTTGGATGTTATACAAAAGGATTTGATTAGTTGCAGACTTTGAGGAAGTGCTTCAAGACAGACTGGAGTGGAGAAGGAATCAAACAGTCAACCCCATATAGATGGGATTAGAGCTAAACGACGAGGAGTTAGGAGCTAAGGGAAGGCATTTAGACTTTCTCTGTGTAGAAGCTTCATCCCAGCCCTTTGGATCCTTTCTGCTTTTTCTCCCTAACACCTTTGAGCCTCTGTGTATTTCTGGGCTTCCTGCCTTTAAAGTAAAACCTCAAATAAATAAATGAAGGACTGGGCCTTTGAGTGTCCTGCCTCCAGCTATTTCTAACTGCCAGTCAGCTCACTCCTCTCTTTGTTGGAGTCTTTCTTTTTCCTTCACTGCTATTTGGGGAACACTTTAAGGTCTGACAGTCAATGGGTAACCAACCTGTAATATTTGTAAATTCCTTCGAACTGCAGTATTTGTGTAACAATTCAGTAAGCCTGGGGCATTCATAAAAGCAGTCTTGAATGAGGTCACATCTGGGCTAAGGCAAGATAGTTTTTTAGAAAGGTCAACACCATTACAGTGAAGAAATGACTCTAAACTGCATTTAAAGGAAAACTTGTAAGCCACAATTCTTTACACTGTAACCTGACACTTCTGCCATAGTAAATCCACAGTTTATCTCCCAAATTTTAGCATGGCAAATCTACAACTCACTGACCCTCCTTCGTGTACACACATGCAGCCCCCCCCTCCCCCAAACACACATACGTCTTTTTATAAAGGTGTGTTTTTTATGTCTTTTTCCACAGAAAGAGATCTGCCAGACTGCCTGGATCAAAAAATCATAACATGGGAGGTGGTCCAAAAAGAAAATTATCTCGCAAACCTGGAACAAAAGAAAAAAGAAAGTAACGATGAAAGACTAAAGAAAACATTTAACAAGTACATTTCTATTCATCTTTCAACATTTTTTTGATGCAGTGATGGGTGAACCTTGTTGTTCTGCAGGTTTGGATTAGGGTTGCCAACTTTTTAATTGCACAAAACTGAACACCCTTGCCCCGCCCCTTCACTGAGCCCCACCCCCCCACTCACTGCAGCCCCCCCTCCCTGCATCGCTCACTCTCCCCCACCCTCACTCCCTTTCACTGGGCTAGGGCAATGGGTTGGGGTGTGGGGTTCAGGAGGGGGTTCCGGGCTGGGGCCATGGGTTGAAGTGTGGGAGGGGGTGTGGGCTCTGGGAGGAAGTTTGGATGCAGGAAGGGGCTCAGGGCTGGGGTAGGAGTATGGGAGGGGGTGCAGGATCCAGGAGGGGGCTCAGGGCTGGGGTTCGGGGTCTGGGAGGGAGTTAGGGTGTGTGGGGGGGTTCCAACCTGGGGTAGGGGGGTTGGGGTGCAGGCTCCACCCAGGTGGCACTTACCTCAGGTGGCTCCCAGTCCACAGTGCAAAGGCAGGCTCCCTGCCTGCCCTGGCTCCGTGCTGCTCCAGAAGTAGCGGGCATGTCCAGTCCTTAGGCTGAGGTGCGGCCAGATGGATCTGCACAGTGCGTGCTGCCCATGCCCACAGGCACTGCCCCCGCAGCACCCATTGGCCACAGTTCCCAGCCAATGGGAGCTGCAGAGCTGGGGGTGGGGACAGCACACGGAGCTTCCCTGATCGCCCCTGCACCTACGGGCCAGATATGCCGATTGCTTCTGAGGAGCTGCGCAGAGCCAGGGCCCTGCTGCGCCGCTGACCAGACTTTTAACGGCCCGGTCAGCCGTGCTGACCGGAGCTGCCAGGGTCCCTTTTCAACCAGGCGTTCCAATCGAAAACTGGACACCTGGCAACCCTAGTTTGGATAAACATACTGAAGTTCAGGTGCTTCCCAAAGCTTATATGTGGAGCAAGACATTAAAAACAAAGTGCAATTAGTTTGGAAATATACATCCTGTGAGAGCTGTAAAGTTCTCACTGTCCTTGAGATATAAAGACCAACCAAAGTAAAATGCATCTGAAAATCACGTTGGAAATCTCATTGTTTCAGAATTTCTTGCAAGATTTCCAGCACTTCCTTGCTTTAATTTGGAAATGCTAAAAGAACAGCCTTTCACATGGTATTTCAGCCCTGGTTCTTCCGATTCTGGTCATGTTCACAGTTGGGAGAAGGTGAACCCTGGGCTCAGGGAGGCTAGCCAGAGCCCAGAGGCCCCCCCATCATGGCTGCCAGCCTGCCCCCTCCCCAGCCCCTGGTTGCCCGAGCGTCACCAGCCCCGGAGCCCTGGGTAGGCAGTACAGCCCCCTTCTGAGTCCCAGAGCACCAACGGGTGGATGGCACGGCACCCTGCAGTCCCCAAACACTGGGTGGGCGGCACGAGCACTGGCTCCAGCTGCCCGGAGTCCCTGGCTGTGAGTGAAGGTCTTTGACTCACCTCTGATGAATACCACTGTGGCCTAGTGGTCTGAGCACGACTTAGAGCCAGGATCAGGAGTTCCTGACTTCCACACCGGCTCCCCATTGTTATTACAAGGGAATTATAAATCATGTTTATAGCAGTAATGCATAAGGACCAATCAAGAAGGGGGCCTCAATGTGCTAGGTATTGTACAAACAGAGTAACAGAGACCCTCTACCCCAAAGATCTTACAATCAAAACAAGCCCGGGGTGAGGAAAGCAGTATAACAAATGAGGGCTGAACAGTGTGATTGCAGTAAATGTCATGTTAGTTCCACAATGTTTTTAAACCTAGCTCCATTTACACCACATGAAAGAGGAGGAGAACATTATCTGACAGGACTATTGTAAGGATGAGTTGATTTGTATATAGCATTCTGAAGATGGGAAGTACTAAGTTATTATCCAAAAGTATACATTATTTTAAGGGAGAAGTAAGCTATACATGTAAAGCAACATCTAAGGCAACATGAGTAAGCCTTCTTTGGGGAGAAATTTAATAACATGACTGAAATGCAGTAACTATTATTGTGAAAGATAGCCAGCATGTTACAAAAGTTTCATTCAAACTTCAGTTCTGGCATAAACAGACGGCACTGAAATCAGTTAGCTATGCTGTCTAATGGTTTTGCTTTGAGTGCTCTTTCAAAACAAGCCTTTGCCTTTCTAATTTATATCATAGCTGGAGCCTAGAACAGCCTATTTGAATATGCAGCGAAAATATTCTTCCCCCTCACCTAATCGATACACAAAAACTGCCTGATTTGATTGTTTATTCATAATAACTTAGAACAATTAGATTATTTTTACTTTAGAGTCATCAAAGAATCACAGACTTACTTTAGACCTGTGGCCCTGGGAATAAGCAAGATGGACAAGCAGAGCCTAATAGCTCTTATAACAAACAATAAAAATGCATCTAATTGTCTCCTAAGAGAGCCTTTTTTGATAATGACATAGTTAGTTTTAAATATTGTAAGTTAGGGATAAAGTTACTGGTTTGGGGGTGTCGGGGGGGGGGAGGGCAGAAGAGAGAATAAGTAAGAACCAGTTTTAACTTCTCTGCTCCTGATCTGAAACAGAGCCATAAACTTTTTGAAGTTGGAAAAGGTTCAGATAAATACCACCTTTTCGGCTTTCTACCCTTGCTGGTGGCAGGCAGTAATTCTGGCTGCACTGAAAGGGCCATTTTCCTGTCTCCAAAAATCTCATCAAATCTGTAGCCTCCCAAGATGCATAGACTAGGAACATATTCCTTGATCCCTGAGCTGCAGAAGCCACAGGCCAGAACACATTAGATCCAAACCCAACAGTCAGTAAGAGCCTCCTACGTAGATGCTCAAAGAATATCACCAATGAAGGGAGAGATTTGAAAGAGCTGAATTCAGAAGAGGGATTTAGAAGTCAGGGGACACTGCAGGGATTGCACTGAGGCTCATGTGTGTATAGGGTGAAAGAGAGGAAGAAGCTGCCTGGGAAAAGTGCCATCAGGTGAAGTGGGTACAGACAGGGAGGCCTAAAATAGTTTGGATACATTCGGGTGAGCTCTGAAGAAGCTTTTGGACTTTGTGGGGGAGGAAGAGCTAGCATGGATATTTTGCGGTTTATTATTACCAATTAAAAGTATGTAACTAGTTTCTGGAAACAGAACACTTTGAAAAGGTTTCAAGAAACAGCTAGTACTTCTTAGCAGGTGATAAAAATACTATAGGTGCAAGCCTTCCAAGTTCTGAGCTCACATTGGGTGCTGCTGTGGAAAGAGGGGTAAGGAATTACAATGGCTTTACATCTTCCCGGATTCCTGGAGCAGTTGGAAACTGAATGGGTCATGGCACAAGTCCTAGTAACGTAAGGACTGCTTTAACTCATGCCAGTATATAATGATTCCCTAGGGGCAATTAGACACGAGGATTGGCCAGACTGCTGTGTACTCCAGCCCTACCCCCTGCATTCTCACTATACCCTCTCTCTATGCCAGGGAATCCCCAAATGACCCTTTAGGGCAAGCAGCCTTCTGGGTGTTCCTACCTCAGCAGTGCAAAGCAGGCAGAAGTCCATCTAGCTCTATGTCTGTTAAGAGTAATGTAGCTGTAATTTGCAGATGTCTTTGCTCAGTACGTGTCTCTGCTTTGTTTGTATTAGGGTGGACCACCTGTCTAAACATTTTAGTGGAATGAAAGAGCAAGAGAAACGGCTTAGATCTCTGGAATCACAAGTAACACTTTTTATATACTTTTTTGACCTTTTGCTAGTATTCTCTTCATTTTTTGTTTGGACTTGACCTTCTCTACAAGGAGGGGGTAGTGTTGGTATGTAGGCCTTAGCTGGTTCACTTTACATTACGAGGGCAAAAGGAAAGAGGATTCTGTCGCCATTAGGGCCCCTGGTGGCCTTATTGTTTATTTCTGTGGAGAAAGAGAGAGAGAGAGAATCTTCACTGGCCTGACAAATGTTAGAGAGAAGCGGGAGGGTAACTGCATTTCTCTCTCTCATTCTGCTGGTCCTGCCAGACCAACCTCTCCCTCCAGTGGACTATTGCTGGTTCAATTCTCTTCAGGTAGCTTTCTGCCTAAACCTAACCCTTGAAGTCCTCCCTTGAACTGTTAAATCTCTCAACGACAGTCAAGTGACACTCAAATCCCATGAAACTATTTTCCAGTCTTTGAAAATAGGGAAACAGAAATCACTTCCATGCAATCAAAAACCTCATAGAGCAGTTTAAGCAAGGCGATGACACATGGGCACCAGCTTTTGGAAAGTAAGATTTGATCCACGGATCTCAATGGTCACTCAAAGTGCATACTGATCAATCCAAATTCTACTGTATAGAAAGCAAGTAAAGCATAAATTCCATTTCCAGCCGGTTTAAAAAAAAAAAAAAGCGTGTCATGCCTGGAGCGTTATTCCAAGGCTGAATTTCATGGCTCTGACAGAGATAAAAATTAACTATTTAGAAATGACACTGGCTGGCAGTTGGATTTTTTTTTAATGTTAAAATTATACATAGTTTATGAAAATGCCCACATCCACTGATACAAGTTATATTTTCACTGATATGATCTACACTGACTTGTTAGCATATTGAATGCAAACAGACATTTCAAAGAGATATTCTAACCTACAAACATGCAACACTAATAATACAAGGAAATTCCATCTTAAATTTCTGATGACAAGCAGCTGGTGTTTAAATAAACATTAACATTTGTAAAACAGTTTAAAAATGTTAAGCACTATCCAAGTACTAAGTAGTACATTTATTGTTTTCCATGCCACTAGAGCTCCCCAGTGAACTTTTGGCCTTGTGGCTTATCTGATTACTTTTATCGCAGAACTTTTTTTCACTGCTCCTTAAAAATACTTTGTATTCAATAAACAATGTTGACACCAAAATGTAAAGATAAATGGCCAAATTCAACAGCAACACTCAAAAAATATTTTAGCTAGATACATTAAGCCACCTATTTTTCTGGTTCAAAGTTTGTGCCACCTATAGATATGTGTATATATAAAGAATAGAAATTTAGATATTTATGGCTCAGTCTATTTGATTTAATAGAAATGCTATTTAGGAAGTTTAATAATAATTATTGCCTAGATTTTCAACTTTTTAGATTTGTAAAGGATAATTAATCTGAAGGATTACAGAAATAGAATTAACATAACCACTACTTGTTTTGTAGGTTAACTACTGTTCAGCTGTTATTTCTTCAATGGCAGATACTTTAAGCAAAAATAACCTCTTGTGCAATAGACCAGTTCCAAAATATACAAGTGAGTATTTGAATTGATAATTGCAAAGCAAAATAGTGCAGGTGAACAATTCAGTAAAAGGGTGTAAATGGCAAAGAGGAATCATGTAGGGAGGTCCTGGGGTAATGGGGATGAAATTATAAAGAGGGGCATTTTGACTGCAGATCTGCAAAAGCTTCCCAACAGCAAGACATATTAGAACATGGAATCTTTGGGGCTGGGATTGTCATTTATTACATGTTTATGCAGTACCTAGGACAATGGGCCCCGACCTGGCTGAACCCTAGGCATTACCACAATATGTTTAATAATTATAATAGGAGAACAGTAATTGTCCAGATTATCAGATGATGTAAATCAGCATCGCTCCATTGACTTCAGTGAAGTTACACCTGCTTACACCAATTTAGGATCTGACCTTGTATCACTGGAAGGGGAAGCCTCTCTGTTTGACACATTTAAATCTTGTCCAGACTAAGAAATAGGCAATACACATTAACAATCTTGCACTGTGGCTGAGGACAGTCTGACTTAATAGATATTTTCCATGTCTATTTTTTCTTGTTTGTCAAAAAAGATACTATAATGGGAAGTAACTAAGAACTCCACAAGGTCTTGACATGGAAAGGTCTCAAAACATTACAGATTACTCATTTAGAGGTCCAAGCCCAGGCAGCCATTATCTATGACTTGTGACTATTGCCATCTCTCCTCCCTGATTTTTCCCGATGTTTACCATGACAAACTACACAATCTTAGCTAATATAAACACAACTGATTGAACATTTTCCCAGCCACAGAGTAATGTGGAACACATAAGTGTATCTGCATAGTAGAGCATAAGATTCCCAAACATTCAAAGTAGTTTTCAGTATTCAACTTCTGGAGTAAAGCACAGATCACTAGACACAAAGTCATGAGATGGTTGAGTCTAAGTCCATACACCTCTATTTCTCTCACAACAGAGTTTGCAAAATGGACTGTTAAAAGTGGCAGTAATAGCAAATGCCTCCCCACCCCCCACCCACACCCCAAGATTAGATTTTGTAAAAAGATTTCCATTCTTTTTAAAGAATTCCTTTGCAGCATTTTCTCCCCAAACATTGTAGTACTATCACTGCATGAGAATCAGAAATTGAAATTGACTAGAAACTAACACAAAGGTTTTTATTGTCTGAAGTGGAAAATGCAAAAATAATGCAGTCTAGTGTAGCTTTTCACCGACTGCTTAAATTTTGTAGAGCTTCCCAAAGACCCCAATAGTTATTGTAAGAGCTTATTTTCATAATACTTTTAAACTAATGCATTGATTTTTTAAAATCCTGTTAGGTTTTATGAATACCAGCACAAATCAAACAATCCTACCAGAAAGAAGTGAAGGCAAAGAGCATACAGAAGAGTCTGAAAATGACATGATGTACATTGATAATTAAATGAAGTTCTCATTTCCTCAGATTAGTTTGCCATTTTGAAGTACTTCTGGGGTGAAATCCCAACCCCACTGAAGTCAGTGGCAAAACTGCCATTAAGTTGTAGGGCGAGGACTTCACCAATGTATTCGTTAATCAGATGTATTCGTGTATCAGATGTCTTCTATTTCCTTCTCACTGTATTTATATATGTAGTGAACAGGGCAGTGAGATTTTTTTCCCCTCTTCATCCCCTGCCCTTACGCAAAGTGCTTACCTGCTTGTCTACTATATTTCTCTTAACCTATTTACCCACATTAAGGAAAAGGAGATCAATTGCTAGAGGCAATCACCTGTGATGTATAACATTCTTCTCTGTCCATGTCAGACTTCCATCCTCCTTTGCCCTGCAACCGTCTTGCATGATTCTCTGGATCCTGAACAAAGCCGAAGCTAGATTTTTGCACTGATCTAGTTTTTCTCATCCCCAAACTGTTATACTTTCCAGCAGCTCCTCCTTATCTTGACTATGGTAATTTCCTCCTTTATGACCTTTCCGTAGTCCTAACTTCTCCCAGATGCAGAAACTGAAACATCTTTTGTCCTCAAGTCTTCATTGGCTTGCTGTCCATTTCAAAGCCCAAAGCACATAATTGTTCTACCTTCACCCTCTCAACTCTATCCACTATGCTCCCTGAATGCCAGACTTCTGCCTGCTGTCTGTGTTGCTTTAATAGTGGGCAACAGAAACCCTCCCAACATAGCCCCAGAAGTTGGAACAGCTTCCTTACCTCCAAGAACTCTTCTGACTTTTTTCATCTTCTTGTCTGATGCCTCTGAAAAATCAAATCCTAGTCCACAGTCATTTTTCCTAGAAACTAGACCTATGAACATTTCACCTTTTGTCTTTTCATTACAGTAGCTACAAATATTACACTTGTATATTTGACATTGACTTTATTTGCACATATAGGCTAACTGGCTGTGAAACCTTGTTATACTTTTGTACGAGACAGCATACACAAATAAACTGAATTTTACTACTTAAAAGGTTCTCTTCCTGTAATTTTGTAGGGATAGTGCCCAACCTTTTGGATTAATGTAAATACACTACTATTGGCAAAATGTACCGGACTTCTGGCTTTCTTGGATGGACAGGCCTCAATTAAATTGGATTTCCTAGAAAATATTATACCTGTAGGCTCCTATGTATCATAAATGCTGATCCTGGTAAGTTACACACCTTCCCAGTCAGGTTTCTTGATCTCAGAAAACCACCACCACACACAAAAATAAAAAATAAAAAAATTGAAGATCAGGTCACAATGCCTTTTATGGAAGCTTTCAAGCAAGAGGTTCTTGTTAACGGAAATAAAGCTGTTAAGGACTTCCTCCTACTATAGGAATTTGCTCATCTTATTTTCAAGCCAGCTGTGCCACATCACTGTGGCCTACACAGGGGAATAGTTTTGGCATCCATGCTACAATAGTTCATTCACCTTTAGGTTAGGGACAGAGGTGGAACCAATGGCTACTGCTTTAGGGACATTTTGTGTTTAGGAAGTAGTCAGTTTGCCAAATCAAAACACTTCCTGCCATTACTGATGTCATCAGTGAATTCAGATCCTTATTTGAAAGAAAAATATATGGTGACAACTCTGGAGTTATACCTCATCTGAATTTTTGTATATCCCCTTCAAACCAGCAGGATTTATGTATTTAGGTATGTCCTATGAATGTCCATAGACTCTAATTGTTCCTCATTGTTGCTCTCCAAGCCAATTTGTCCTGGATAAGGTCAGTTTCACAAGACTGGCACTATTGCCCCACCCTCTACCCATTGTACATTATTATTTTTTTCTGGAAGCAACAACCAGATGCTCTGGACTGCACAAGCAAAAAAGCAGCCATGGTTCCTGTCCTGCAGCCAAGAATTTTCTCTCTAGAGATTTCAAGCACACTATCAGTAATATTCCCAAGTTTGCATGAGGGTTTAAGCAATGGATCTCTAGCTACAATGAATGAATGTAGTGAAATTGCAGATTCCAAGGAAAGGAGAGATGGCCTTTTACTGCCCAGTTATAAATATTACAACTTGGCTAATTAATTGCATATTATTAAATTGTTAATCTACACTGGCCATGCTAAATCAAGCCAAATTGCCTAAGCAATATGCTGTCTTTGCAGTGTTTCTCAATCTTCTTGATACCAGGAACTGGCTTGCTGCCTTCCTAAACTGTGGCAGGCAGATCTCAGGGACTGGACCAGTCATTAAGAAACATAGTATAAATATCCATTCTAAGAATGTAACCTTTCAACCTGTTTTCCCTCATCTAACTAAAGGCATTGTCCGAACTTACTAACCTGCCTCACAAGAATATTTGTATACTGCTATGTAAAAATGTAACATTCATTGTTGTTGTGTTAATGATTCCATTTGCACTTGTAAAGCTACTGTGGTGTTACAAAAAAACGAAGTAGTAAGACCAAGAGAGGGAAAAAAAGCCCCTCTCTACATATTTAGAGTAAAATCCTCTCAGATTCTTACCTGAAATCCCACCTTGCCAAATGAAACTGTCTCTATACTTCGCTACTAATATTCATAGTTGTGTTTGATGCTAATATACCTATAGGTGGAAAACAGACCCAGAAACCAAATTACAACTACATGTTTTTATTGACATCCAAAGTATGAAGAGAATCTCTTAGTACAAGTCCTTCCCTTCCAATTAGTCCACTTAAGAGTCAAAATGGAAGCACTGCAACTTATGGAGGTGAGACATCAGCACAGCACATCACTCACACACAAGGTAAAAGCTTGTGGCTGCTTGACCAGTCAGTAAGCTGTCACACAAATTTCAGTTGTACATACAGCATGTTGAGAAGTGGCTGAGGCTTTCACGCATGTCTTTGCTAAAATGTTTCCAAAGATGTTTTGTCTCAACAGGCCTCATGTTTCTTTTCAACTTTTACCAAATAAGATATGTTAGAAAGTAACCGAGGGAAAATACTCAGGCTACCTTAAAAACCATTTAATTTGCAACTCCTGATTGTGCCCTCTCAGCTCATGGTCAGTTACTTACTGTGTTTTTATTTTCGGTGGCAGTGCGGAAAGCATGGCTCAATCCTTGTCCTACCTGATCCCAATTAGGGACATACATATTAAGGGAATATTTCCCTCTCTGAGGTAGGGAATCAGGATACAAACTTAACCCTACTGGGTTTGGTTTTTAATACTTTAAAACTCTACCTTATATGTTCCTCTTCAATCCTGATCCCTTTTGACCCCAGACTTCTACAGCACTGTCCAGGGGGTTCTACTTTTTTTAAGAGGGTGGAAAAGTAGGGAAAGACAGGGGATCCTCCTGGATCCCTCACTTTTCCCGCTGAAGTACTTGTGTTAGGATAGCCTATCTCTGTGGTCAAAGACTTGACACTGTGTCAGCATCAGTCAGAGGGGCTTGCTCAAGAGCACACACCCCACTCCCTACCCCTCCAGGTGCTGTGCCCACACTGTTCCCTGCAGGTATATTGTTTTTATACCTTAATTTCTGACAAACTTACTAAAAATAGTATATTTGGAGACCATGAAACTGAGTGCTAGACAAATGCCTGCCACCTGCCCCACTAGTGAGATCTGAGCTGAGAGAGAGCAAATAAAGGTAGCCTTCTGGAATAACACTGAAGCCTCTGGATGGGTATAATTAGTTTCTCTCTTAAGACTCTTCAGCCTCTTCATAGTCTGCTTTGAGACGGAAATGCTTCCTACTCCTTTTCTTACTACCGTGAAACCCTACGGTTTCCACCAAAGCATCTTCACCTGTATGAGCGGAACCTGTGCCAAGTTCCCTTTTTGTACCCAGGTCCTCCAACTTCAGCTGCTCCTCTTCCTCCATCGTCTTCTTCCCTTCAATGTCTAGATGGCCCAGCTCAACTTCATCTTCGTCCTTCAGGTCACTGCCCTTTTTGGGAGATTTCTCATTCAGACCTTGCTTTGTATTCATGAGCTTCTTACCATCCTCCTCTGCTGGTCTTTTCCTTTCCGAACTACGCATACCTATCTTTGTGGGCTTGGTAAATATTATCCTTCCAGCACCATAGCTGGAGGGGTCCTGGTTGAAATATGGGGTGTAGCTGTCTTGCATAGCTGAGCTTTCTTCTCCTTCTTTCTTCTTCAAGCCCTCTAGAAACTCCATGGCAGCCATCCTGTTGGTCTTATCACTGGACTCTGAAACTCCCTCCAGGCTGTACTTTGTCCAGCGTTCTGGATGTGCCACGTAGTCCGGGACTCCGGGAGAGCTTTTGGGAGCTGGGGGAGGCTTGCTTTGCCTTCCAAGGCTTTCTGCAGCCATCTTGCTTAAAGGAGTGGGTGGGGGCAGAGGGCGCTTAAACCTCCCATCAATAATGTTATCTTCAGCCATAGAGGGTGCCGCTAATTTGGCTGCCCCTTCCAGGCCGTCAAATATGCTCTGGCTACGCAGCGAGAAGGTAGAGCTCATGCCTCTCAGATGGAATGGCTGGACAGGAGACTTATGTTTGTTGTTTGAAGAATCAGGGATCTCATCTGATCCATAACCTACATCATCCAAAGATGGTGGTTCCACTGGAGAAATCGTATCAACTTCTGCTTCATCCACTAAGCCAAAGTCTTCAGAGTCTGAATCACTGAGTGAAACTGTGTCAGAAGGTAGGGCGCCCTCATAATCTTTGGCCCCACCAGCCACTATACCCATAAAGGGCTCACCGGCACCTTCATCTCCCATCTTTGGGCTGTTACTCAACTGTGCTCTCTGGCTTAGGCCCAGCTGCAGCAAATAAGGTCTTCCAAATATCCAGTGACTTTAAAGCCTGGAATGAGAAAGAACAAATATAAATTCATCTGTGAAATGAGAACCACATCAGAACAGGATGTCCTGAGAAACTCTTCTGTTCACATCACAGCAATTCAAGACCATGGAAAACTGTGTGACTTAAGAAGTGGTGCAAATGAAACAGAAAAGAACTAGTGTGAGGAGACTACCTCTGCTATATTCTGAGCTCAACATTCTCAGGGCTCACCGAAGAAAGGGTTGCAGCATCCACTGTGCTATTTAAAGAAATACTGTGATTGTCCTTATTTCAACTGATGTTGTACATGACTGACATTGTGTACTGTGTCAAGTCATATTGCTACAAATCTCAGGTACATGTACCTCATTCTGTCACTTGATAAATTTTTGTTTGAAATAAAACCATTCTTTTGTGCATGAATGTGAGCAATTAATGCACATATACAGGGCTTATTTCAGAATATAGGCCTAGTTAAAATAGGTTTTTGTTATTACCAGTACACCAGTTTTAATTAACAATTCAGGGTTTTTTCCTCCAATATATAAATATATGAATACACTGCAAAATTTTAAGGTAGAAAAAATATATGCCTAAACTATATAAATATAGGTTCTCAATAAAGACTGTAAATAGGCATGGAAAGTGTGCTAGTCACTCACTGTCTCTTGAGACTGAAACAATTTCCCTTCCTCTGGGTCAGTTAAAGCCACCAAGGATCTCAGCTCCTGCACCCTAGAAAACAAATATCTACATCACAAGGTAGGAAAATTCATTTTTTTTTAAAGATATTTTAAAAGGAACGGTTAGCACATTTCTCAGTCATCTCCAACTGTGGCACTGATTCCTAATTTTTGACATGAGCCTGTGCTAATAAAAACTCTGCAGACATTTCTGGGATTTAGGTTGGAAAAAGAACTCTGCACTTTCTGCTGAGACATACACCAATGAAGCCACTCAGGACATAATGCCAGTGCCAAAATTCATAGTCCCAGCCTGAGTTCAATGGGAAAGAAAAACAACAGATGTTTTTAAAATTTTCTTTTTAGTTTCCAGTGGCTACAAAATACCCCATCGAGAACTGAATTTGACTAAATGAAAAGAGATTTTTAGCAGAGGAGTGTCAAAATCAGTGTGGTCAACAAGAATAACTGATAAATAATAGTAATCATGAACAGCATTGCACACTACACACATAATGGTAAAATTTGCAGGACAGAGAGGGGAGAAAAGTATGGGCCAGATTTCAAAAGAGCTGAGCACTTAAAATCGGGGCCAAATTTTGAAAACCTGTAATCAGTTAGACATCAAAATAAGAGAAAAAGATTTTTTACATTGGGTCCTGAACACCTTTAAAAATCTTACTCCTGGGGACACAAGGGCCAAGTTTTCAAAGTGCCAGGGGGTGCTTGATCACCCAGCACTGTCCCAGGCCCCGCCCCACTCCACCCCTTCCCCCATGGCCCCATTTCCCCCACCTCTTCCCACTCCTGCCCCACCTCTTCCCGCCCCACTCAGTCCCTCCACTCCCCAAGCGTGCCGTTTTCTTGCTCCTCTCCCTCCCTCCCTCCTGCACGCCCCAAAACAACTGTTTCACAGCAGACGCGAGGAGGCACAAGGGGGAGGCACAGATCCACGGGGCCCTGGAGCACCCACAGAGTCTATGCCATGCCTGAGGAAATTCTGTGCCACTGTGCAATGCAGAATTTTGAAGAAATTAATGTGTGCGCAGAATTTCCTTTTCCGCCACAGAAATGGGCTGCAGTGCTGCCAGCTGCCAGTAGGGGCTACTGGAGCCAGCAAAGCCCAGCTCACACATTGAATATACAGCTGAGAGGCGGGAGAGGGAGCTAGAGAGTTCCTGGGAGGTGCAATTCCCAGCATGCCGAGAGGGAAGGAGAGGGCAGCACGCAGGAAACTCCATGAAAGCCTGGGACCAAGCATCAGGCTGTTTCTCCCACTGGATCCCGGGGTTTTCAGAGGAGGGGCCACGGCTGGGCTCGGGGAGGTACATTTATTCAGCCCAGGGGGGTCCCACATCTGAGTTTGGGGTGGGGGGTTCTGGTGTATTGGCAGGGCGGGGGGGGCGGAGGGGGGCACTGGGGAAGGTGGCAGAGAAAACCAGGTTGTATTAGGGGTTTCTTTAACACTCTACGCCTGAGAGAATTTTTGTGTCTGAATTGTTACAGACATACTTGCTGACAGATATTTTGAAATAAATTACCAAAATAATTTAAACTGGTGTGATTATGAAGTGTTATTTTGACAGAATTTGCAGAATTTTGTGTGTAGAATTTTTAACTGTTTGGCACCCCAGGAGTAAAATTTGGACATATGTCATAATGGGCGCATTTGAAAATACAGCCTTTAGTTGGGTGAAATGGAAGATGAGCACTTGAAAATCTGGCCTTATGACACTTTGCAGTCATAGCACATGGTTCAATAGCTTTTGCAGAAACAACAGCAATCCTCCAAACTACATGAAGGAGAAAGGAGCAAATGCACCTGCATAAGGGCTGCTTTCAAACTGGCAGTTCACCACAGCTGGGACTGGAAGAAAGACAGAAAGGAAAAGTTCCCAAACTTTGAAAACCTCTTCCACCTCAACAACAAAGACCAAGAGTACTGACCCCTACATCCCCAGGAGACTCACAGTTTCTTGGTGGTGATCTGAATATGGTACAACTCAGACAGGATGGCATCTCTCTGAATGGACAGGTCCCCAAGAGAATCTTCCATGCTGCTTTCAATCAAGCTCTCCCTCCTTCCTCCTCCTGCTGCAGGGGGAGCCAGAGAGCACAGTCACCCCAGGTCAGCTGTTACCACACTCAAGCCTCCAGGGCAAGGCTTTACAGGAGACAGCTGTTAGTGATGGATCTCAGATACCCTAGCAGTAGGTGATGGGGGCCACATCAGTATTTTAGACAGACAGCAGCATCTGACAGCCTCACAGCGTGCCATGTGCTGAGCTCACAGCTCCCCAAGGCAAGACAGTGATCTCACTACACAGAGGGGGCTATGATGCAGGGGAGGCACTGGGGAGGGGTTGTGATGCAGGGGAAGGGGGACTGTGACTCCCCAGGCAGGGTTACGATGCAGGGGAGGCACCGGGGATCGGCTGAGACGGTGGAGCAGGAGGGAGATTCTGGGCCCGGGGCCTGGGACGCTGGGGGGCGGGGCTGTGACACTGGATGGGGGCGGAGCTAGGGGGGCCTATGAACCCGGGGGGCTGGGCTGTGATCCCGGCAGGGGGCCGGGGCTCGGCTCAGGGGGGCTGTGACCCCGGGGCAGGGGAAGGCGGGGCTGTGAGCCCCCGGGCAGGGGGAGGCCCAGGGGCCTGTGACCTCCGGGCTAGCCAGGGGGTAATTCCCCGGGGCGGACGGGCAGTCCCCGGCCGACCAGGGAACCGACCCGCCCGAGCCCCAGGCCCCGCGGTGCCCGCAGCGAGGCCGAGACCGCCGCGGGCAGGGCGGGAACACGCGCGGCCCGTACCTCACGGAGCGCGGCCCAACCGCTCCTCCTCGCAGCGCGCGGCCCAGGCGGGTATATCCGGCCGCTCCCCGCAGCGCGGCGCGCGCACAGGAAGGGCGCCGTCAGCCGCGGCGGCCCGCGCGGAGCACGCTGGGAAGCCGAGTCCCCACCGCCCGCTGAGCCACTACTGAGCGACAGCTCCCAGCCCCTCGAGCTGCTATTCCCATGAGGCAAAGCGGGAGGGGGGAGAAACACCCACCCGCTTTGCCCCCTGGGAATTGTAGTGCGCCGAGCTCGGGCCAGCTTGATAGACCAGGCCGGAGCAGCGGGAGGGGGCAGGGCGGCCGTTAGTGACAGGCTGGGGCTGATCAGGGCACAAGGCTCCACGCCCAGGCCTAGGAGAGCGGGAGCCAATTTAAACACTGCCCTCTGCTGGCCGGCACTAGTACTGCACCGCCCCATGTTACAGGGCCCTACGAACCAGCTGGTGTATGGTGAATGCTGCTCCCCACAGTGCTCCTGCAGCCAGCGTGACCTGCACAGCTACAGGGCAAAGTGCAACGTGCCCAACCACTGTAGTCACTTATCACCTCTATTACAGTAGCAACCAGAGGCCCAGCCTGAGGGTGAGCCCCCTTCTAGTCTGCTCTCTGAACCTCCATCCTATTTAGCACATACAGAGCACTTTTCATCCATAGATCTCAAAGCACTTACATGGGTGATTGGTACCAACTATCCTTAGTTTACAGATGAGAAAACTCAGGCACAGGGAGGTGAAGATCACCCAGAAGTTTGGTAGTAACACTGGGAACAGAACATAGATAACCCAGAATCCATTCCAGAGCCCATTATCTAAAATAAATATTCATTTCTAGTTCTTTTTTCATTCAAAGAACCGTTTACAAACTAACTAATCTTTGCAATGCCACCTTTGTGAAGTGAACAATAATTCATAGTAGGGCTGGTAGTGGGAAAAAAGATCACAATTCCAAATCACAAGTCTGTGATTTCTGCCTGAGAGCAATTTTGAGTGAGCCCAACAGGAACATTTAGAATGGAGCTCTAGTCTCACACAGTAGCTTTGCATTTGCTTAACAGGACACGCAAAGCCCTTTAGGCCTCATGTTTAACATCACTCTATGACTGGGATAGTCAATAGGCAGACTGCGGGCCAAATCCGAACAGCCACACATTTTTTAACAGATCCTGAAATCTTTTTATTTAGTTATTATCATTATTGTTACTAGTTTTTTTTATTATTATTATTTTCTCTGGAGTCTGGACCTTGACTATACCTTAACCAAGAAATTTGGACCTTGACAAAAAATAATTGACTACCCCTGCTCTATGAGCTTGATCCAAAGCCAGTTGAAATCAATGGAAGTCTTTCAGTAGGACCAGGCCCTCAGGGAATAGGGAATTTATTTTGACTGAAGGTTATGTCTACACTGTACACTCCTTACAGCAGTGTGTAGAGTACATGCACTACATACCCCCTTAGTATGGGTAGGACATCGCCAGACATTGCTAGATGAGGGTGCTCTGGTGAAATGAGAGCTAATTCCCAGGATGGCCAGCAAGAGGCGCTGAGGTGGTGAGTTCCACCCCGTTACAGGGAAATTCCAGCCAGCATACATGAGGTGTGGAAAAAGTCATGTCCCAAGAGATGATGCATGTCCAGCTAAAGGCACATGGTGTAATAAATGCATGAGATATGGACATTTTGCATCTGTGTCACACCAAAGCAGTCAGGGAATTTGCTCATATTACAGACAATCAAAAGCCAATGTTTCTGGGATCTATCACTTGTGATGCCAGAGCCTGCCTGGAGAGTGAAACTGAATATTCATGGCAAGACTAGTGACTTTAAAATTGGCTTAGGAGCTGACATCACAGAAGGGACTTACAGTCACCTTCAACTCCTCCCAGAACTGAAGTCACATGACAGCTCTAGCTAGCCCTGCAGGTATTCAGAACTGCATGGGCCAGTTGACCACAGAAACAACTTACAAAGATAAAAACTATTCATTGAGTGCATGTGATCAAAGACCAACAACCTTCTCAGCTGCAGTATGGCAGCCATGATGGGCTTATTGAGAAAGGTGGAAGAACTCGATAGAGGATTTGATGACATTGGACTTTTGAAAGGAAACTCCATACAAATCAATTTAAGAGACAATACTGAATCATGCAGTGTACAAACACCTTTACCAGACAGACCTTGGAAGAGAGTAGCTGCAGATTTATGTAAATTCAGAGGACATCATTACCTGGTCATTGTGGATTATTTTTCCAGGTATATAGAAATAATGTACTCGAAAGACATAACATGTTGCACTATTATTGAGAAACTGAAAGGCATTCTTGCTCATTTTGGTGTTCCAGGACAACTAATGATGGACAACTGACCACAACTTACTGCAGCAGAATTTGTCATTCTGAACAAAATATGATTTTGATCATATTACTTGCAGCCTATATTACACACAAACAAATTGAGAGCTGTACAGTCAACCAAGAAAATCCTTTTCTTGCTCTTCTGAGTTACAGATCAACACCAATAACAGCCACTAGATATAGTCTAGCACAACTCCTGGTGGGAGGACAACTTAGAACAACTGCTCCAGCTTTGGAAAAGACTCTATTTCCAAAGTGGCTAGATGTGAAGAGAGAAGCCAAATCAGATGAAAAGGCTAATAGATCTGTGTACACTTTTACAACAGGCATCACTCAGAGAACTGCCAGGTGTAGAACCTGATGCCCGTGTTCGTGTCAAATTGGATGGAGGAAAAAGGATGGACAACTCCAGCTGTTGTAAAGAAAATGAATTCAGTGCCCAGATCATATGTGATCAAGACCGACAGTGGAGAGTTCAGCAGAAACCATCAACATTTACAGTTTGTTCCTCAGAAAGAACACTGCACAGCAGTGTTTCTCAACAGCCAGTCTGTGAGCCAGGTTCTCCCTGACACATTTTAGGAAGGCAGCAAGCCAGTCCCTGGTATCAAAAAAAGTTGAGAAACACTGAGCAGAATAAATCTACAGATGGGTGCAGAACAAGACGACAACACTCAAAGATTCCAAACTGACCATGGCTTGTCATTGCTACTAATGAACAGCTAGATGACCAAGTTGTTATGTGTTCAGATAGTGTAATTAGAAAACCGGTATGATTCAGAGACATTTAACAGACTAATACATACTGAACTTCAAAGACAGTGTGATAGTGTAAAAATGGTAATGTAGAACTTAAATGGGGAAATGTAATGGAATATTAAAATGCATTATATATATCAGTCACTAGGTAGCACTGTATGTCAAATACTTTATTTAAGCTAATCTGGAGCCATGCCTGGCAGAACATTAAAGGATCTTATGATGAACACATCTGGTATGTATAAGCTGGCTGTCTGACCAGTCCATATCTGGTACAGAAAAACATGACAGTAAGTATGTATCCTACATGGCTCTCTACTTACCCAAGCAGTGCCTCCCCAGTTTACACTATCTTTAGCGGTATAGCATCCTGCTGTTTTCCTGCTGCTGGAGCCTTCCTCCCCACCCCCCCGCAAGGAAAGGCTCCAGCAGCTACTGCCTCCCCTCTGCCAGAGCCTTTCACTGATGCGTGTAGTTATGCACCAGAGTGTGGACGTGGCCTGGTTTTCCCTGTGGTGTGCAGCTACGCATACCCTACATGCTACTGAAAGTGGTGTACAGTGTGGACATAGCCTTAGAGGAATTTATTTAATCAATCCTCCCAATGCTAAATAATTAAGAAACAAACACTGCACATTCTAGGTCCCACATCTAAACAAAGCTGCTATCATATTCTCAATGGATGCGTGTACCATCTGCTATCTACTGTGCTGTAATCCTTGTTCCTCTTGGAGCACTTGGAGATGTCTTTCTTCAAGGCCTCCAGCACTGTGGCAGCTATCGCCCCTATGAGAACATGCAATGTTAAAGATCAGTTATGTTTGTGGTCTAAAATACTTGACTGAATCCCTTTAAGAGGGGCCCCGTGGTGAGTCATCTGTAATGTAAACTGCTGCTATTTCATTTGCACTGTCAGTTTTTAAATATGTATCTCTGCCTTCTGGAGTGTTGCTAACTACAGTAATTTATGACAAGGAAGCTGTGTTTGGAATACATTTGGCAGCAATAACAGGCAGGTTAGAACAAAATGTCTTTCATCTGGTAGGGATTGGGTTGGAGTTTTAAAACACAACAGGCTTTCCTGTTCGGGGATCTTTATAACATTCCCATGGAAACATGCCTAGGTCAGCGTTTCCTGGCTAGTTGGCTTATGTATGAAGCCTCCCCTAGAGGGCGCCAAAGGCAACGGTGCTGAATACAGAGGGGGAGAATAGCGGGGAAAGGAGGCATTGGAAAGGAGAGAGAAGAACAAACTGACCTAGCGGAACAGGGTAAATAATATTACAGGAACTCTTCACTTAAAGTCATCCCGGTTAACGTTGTTTCAATGTTAAATTGCTGATCAATTAGGGAACATGCTCGTTAAAGTTGTGAAATGCTCCCTTCTAACGTCGTTTGGCCGTTCCGCTGCTTGCAGGAAGAGCAGCCCGTTGCAGCTAACTGGTGGGTGGTTGGAACCAGGGTGAACCAGCAGCCCCCCTATCAGTTCCCCACTCCCCTAAGTGCCCTATGCAGCAGCTGTCCCTCCCCGCACTGCCATGTGCTGCTCCTGCCCTCTGCCTTGGAGCTGCTCCCAGAGACTCCTGCTTGCTGTATAGGGGGGAGGGGGGAAGAGGGGAGCTAATGTTAGGGGGTCCCCCCCTGCTCCTGCACCCCGCTTACCCTGTCTTCCATAGAGCAGGGAGGATACTCAATGGAGGGAGGGAGCTTCTAGGCAGTAGCTGCCCTCAGTTCTCAGCAAGCTGATTTAATTAACAATGCAGTATACTTAAGCCTGGGGTCAGCTACTTAAAGGGAAAATGCACATTTTTTCTCTCTCACACAGGGTGTGTGTCTCTGTTTGCCCTCCCTCCTTTCCTGCTGCCTTGTAGAGTGTTGTGAGAGTTAACTCTTGAGGGCTCAATCAGTTGCTAATTCATTTAACAGTAAGGAATTCCCTGGGAAATATCCCACCCTCTGACTCCTCCACCTCAACCAAGCTTCACAATCATCATCACTGTGTACCAATATTAAATTGTTTATT